TTAAATACTGTTTTATTTTTAGAGATTTCAGATTTTTGGCATGGTACTCTTCATAATCTCACATTCTTTGCAGGCTAAAAAAAAAAATCTTTTTTTAGGCAGCTCCAGTTGAGGAAGAACAAATAATCCAGTAATGAGGAAAAAAGTTTAAATAAGATTTCAAGCTTTCAAAACTTTTTCGAAAGAACTAAGCACCATATTAGCATGAGTTCAGCCCACAGAATTAGCACAGACATTTTAAAAATTACCTCAGCATTCAGCATACTAACCTTTTGTAGACACTGGCTTCTCTTGAGGTCTGAGAACTGAGTCCTTATAAAAATCCTGGCTTTAAAGGGCAAGAAGGCATGGTGGGGAAGAAAAAGGGGGGAGTTACTTAAGTACAGGCTTGAGCAAAAACATTCATCTGTAGCTATAGTCCCAGGCTTGCTTGTACTAAGGTGCATCTCTGTGCCCCCTGAAGCTTATCTCAACTCCTTGCTTACCAGCAAGAAGGAAACATATTGGAGTAGGCTTTCAGGAACTCTTTGATAAAATTCCACCATAATTTTGAAAGCCTATGTCAATCCCAGTCATCCCTGCTAAGTGTGTCTTTACCCTGGAGTTCATCAAGCTGTTTAACTGTGCTTTTTCTTTCTTGAGAGGATGAGATTTTCACAAGTGGCAGGATTGTTTTTCTGAACATTGATGTGGCTTGGGAATTTGCCATGGGGATGGTTTTTCAAAAGAAAAAGAGTAGGTGCCTCATTCCCCACCCCCCCCAGCTACATTTTCTCTGAGGAAGTTTAGGTTTGCAGGTTGCTAAGAAACAGTTTATATTAGGAAACCTTCGATGGCATTAATTATTTTTGGATAGCAATATCTAAAAATAGTTCTGAGTCATTTCAATATGAAATTGCACTTTTCATTTCGGAACATTGCTTTGCAGATGCTATTGTCCAGACCTCAATTTTCCTTTAGGGCGTAAGAGAACATCTCTATATTCAACAGCCTTTCCTCCATATTAATTGTATGAGCCAGAACAGGAGTCCTGTGGCTGTCGCTGAATAATGAGAGACACAACCCAGCAGGAAGCCTAGGTCATAAGAGCAAATACAGGCATCAAGACACTTTGTCCAGACGGCAAAGCACTCAAGTAAGAAAATATATTTGAAATTCATTTGAAACAAAGCACTCTGGAGCAGTTCAGAAAAAACTGTCCCACTAAAACACAGAGTTCTCAAAGAGGTCATAAACACTACTTGCAAATAATTTTAGTGTAAATGTATCTGCCAAGTGTTGCTACTGCCCTCTTTGGTTCCTGTTTTAGAAGACTGAATGAATAGACTTCTCCTTCCATGCTTCCAAGTTACAACCTGAGTACCTCTAGGGTGAGAGATTAGTGACTGAGGAAATACTTTTGTAGGAGTGTTAAAATGCTGACTGCACTACTCTTTTCCTGTTCAGCTGTTAACTGAGTTTCCAGTTCTCTTTAGCCTCCCTCCACCTTGACTCCCTTAGAAATATCTGCCATAGGAGCTGTCTTCAATGCTTGCTAATGGTCCCATAGTCACACAGTGGATTAAAAGACTCAAAACTAAATACAGTTTTGAGTAAAACACCAAGCACTGAGTCACCATTCCAGAAATAGGAATACGCATAGCATTAAATGGATCAAGGCACTGATCTTGATGAATGATGTTATTTGATGTTTGGAACCTGAAAGGTCAAGGACAACCTGCAAAGGAGATCACATTCGTAATCAAGAGACCTGTCCATGACCTCAGGTCTTACGGATCAGACATCTTTGCTATGTGCGGAGGACTCTCAGTCTACATGGCTTATGAAGTTTACCGTGAGTGCAAGCAAATGAATTATGTCTGTAACTAACCAGGCTCTTTTTTTCCTTGGGGAATAATACACAAATGCTGCTGTTCCAACTAGAGATGGACACAAATCAAGAACCTCAGGAGTTGCAGAAAGGGTTCAGTATCTCTGCAGATCAGGATTGGAACAGTGTTGAGTCACAACCTCCATAAATGATCTGATGCAAACCCTTACTACTCCTTTTAGTAAAGTTTAAGGTGGCTTAAGTTTTGGCCCAGAAATTTGCAGATTGACCTCATCTGTAACGCCAAGGTGAAGAAAAAGGGTAGTCTCAAGAACCACTGTCCTTCAGTTCAGAGATTGCTGATAAGTTTACCGAGGAATCCCACCAAACACTTATGTTTCACAATACTAAGCCAAGTTGCTTCATTCCCTGTAGGTTTTTCAGAGGTGGAATGATCACATTACCTAGGAGTTTAATGACCTACACTTCATAGGATTCTCCAATAATGTCAAAGCCTGACAGGGCCTATTAACTAGCATTAACATAACCATATAATGCACAGTAATAACAGTACATGAATCCCACCAAACACTTATGTTTCACAATACTAAGCCAAGTTGCTTCATTCCCTGTAGGTTTTTCAGAGGTGGAATGATCACATTACCTAGGAGTTTAATGACCTACACTTCATAGGATTCTCCAATAATGTCAAAGCCTGACAGGGCCTATTAACTAGCATTAACATAACCATATAATGCACAGTAATAACAGTACAGAGTATAATAGTGCCCCACTGTACTGGAAAACCAAAAGAATATTAAATTGCATGTCTTTATGATCATTCATTTCTGAGTTAAAAATCCAGTTGTGTTTGGTGACTACAGAAGAATCTTTGACTCATACACGTGAAATATTTCTATTGCAGCAATTATTAAAAACATAGCTCACTCAGAGCAATAAAAATACACTGTTGTAGAATGCCAGCTATTGCTATGGAGACTAGTATAGATCAACTGTCTCACTGTGGGTGCCATAATCATATTTTGATCACTTGCAATAGAATTTCTTGTATTGTGGGGAAAGAAAGAAATTCTTTAAATGTATATAAAGGAACTAAGTTTTACTCAGAGGAGTTAATCCTGAAGCACCGGCAAAGTACTCTGAGCCTTACTGCAAGCTGATTGTCTGCAAACCTTGTCACCAGAAAGATGCTCTACAGATCAGGCATAGGATGTTGCATTCTGACATAGCAGCATTTCCACCTACTCGCTGCTTGCTTTGATATTGCTTGATGGCTCAATTTGATTAAAAACGCGCGTGCACTATGCCAGGTATTAAAGGCTGCCAATGAAGGCACAGATCGCTTAACACCATCTTAGGTATTACCTCATGGTATTTTTTCTTTTCTTGTTTTTAAAGGACCCCAAAATATATACAATCCAGTATCACGCAGTAGACTTGATGTCCTGCAAGTTTGGGACCTTAACTACTGTCATGGCAATAACAAGGCCTGAAAATCTTACCTTTCTTCAACCAAGTACGGATGCTTGATAGCTACTGCACAAAGCCAACCCCGATGCTGTTCTTCCCTGGCATCTCCTCTTTCGAGAGTTTCGTTCTTGATGATTCAGATGCTGAAACAGATAAATTGGTGACCGTATCTTTCAATTAAAGACCTTTAGCATTGATTAACTCTGGCTAGTTTTCTCATTATATACCCTTTATCATCTATGAACACATCCAGAAAAATATTTTGATTGCATCTCTTCAAATGCTCTTTTAAAAGCCTGCTCTTAACATAGGGCACACCCATAGAGGTGGGCAAGCGTCAGAACATGTGCATTACAAATAAGGCATACAGAGTTAAGACCTTCCTTTGCCTTCTCAGAGAAAGATGCCTCACATTAAAAATCTTGATTCATGTGGCATGAAAGGTAGAAAGAAAGAAGGAGGACACAATGAATTTACCTTCTTTAGGGGAAGAGGAGTCTAATTAGTAGGATTTACAGAGTTGTTCTGTTCCTCAAATAGTCATCCATTTTTTCCAGTGCATAGCCAGGACTGGCTAGAGGCATCACATTGAACACTCAGGTGGATGAAGCTTTGCTTCAAAGATGCATACACAATATAAACACAATTATTGATCCATGTAAGACAATGCAAGATTCCCAGCTGCCTCCTCCCAAACACCTCTAACTCAGCCTTGAAGATGCAAAAAAAAGCAGGCTTAAGTTTTCCTTCCTTAATGCTGCAATGGCACTGTAAAGGGAGATGAAAGACTTATTCCATTTATGCTGCCAGGGACATGTAGAAAGAGTCTTTGAGCTTTCCTCATAGCTAGTCCCAGATTCTTTGTATGTCCAATCTTCCAGTCATATAAGTAACATGAGTCAAGCCAGGATTACTGTAATGTTTCTGCTGAATTAACAAGGACATTTGACAAAGTGTTTATGTCAGATTTGTCAGCTCGAGGCTGAAGACAAACAATCCCCTATCTACTTTGACCCAGCATGAAGCTTGCTGATACAAAGTTAACTTTTTTTTTTAACAAGTGGGGACTGGAAGGATGCATTTATCTTGGACTGTTGTCACCTAACAACAATTTTCCCCTCCCCGATCCTGCAGTGGACACATAACCCCAAATTTCTTACATGGTCAAGCCAGTGTCATAGAGAAGAATCAAAACTTTAGAGTTAGAAACCAATCCCAAGCATTTGAAAGCAGAGAAGTTTAGAGGGGAATTAAAGTACAATTTTTAAAAGAGAGTAGGGCCATTAAACACTAAACCTTTAGTAGGGCAAGGTCCCTATTGCTCGAAACTTTAAAATCAAGATTATTTCCTCTGTTCTAACAAAAATGGCAGGATGCCCTGGGTTCATCCAGGTGAATACAAGTCTGTATTTAAGAAGGATACCAGCCATGCAACGTCCCTCAGTTTCTATTACCCTCTCGCTGATCCCCAGAGGCTTTACTCTGTAGCAGTTTGAAAGGATATAGAGTTCACTCAGGCACATCTCAGGCAAAAGCATCTGAATTATCTGGATTAACACACATCAGTCCTAGCAGAGGAGAGACAGACAGTAGTTTGTAGCTGCTAATCTCCTTCCTTTTTGGTATTACAGAAGTTTTTAATTCCTTTACACACCATCAGTTCTCATTTTGCTCAGGCTGAGGCTAAACATGACAGAAAGAGGCAAGAATCAAAGTTTAGGAGAGATTTTCACTTATTTTTAGTCATTATACAGTATCCTAACAAAATCTTTCAGCTCTTGTCATGCCCTATTTTGCCGCCTTATTGGCATTTCTGTATTTAACTCCCTTTCCAGTAGGGACTGGAAAGAAACTTTTCAGTAGTAGTATGTGCGTTTTAATGCCAAACATACATGAGTGAAAGAGAAGGAAACTTCAGCCACCTAAAAAACCATAGAAACTTCTCAGCAGCAACAAAAATACACCTGTGATGCTTACTGCAAAACTGGAGTACAAGCAATGTGAAGAAACAGATTTAAGACAAGGTCTCAGATAAACCTGACGCTTCAATAGAAACTTTACTGCTTGTTACTGAGTGGAGCTGTTATATGTCATTACCCCAGCCCAGAGTCTGTGCCTGCCAGCACACCCCCACAGCATATGTACACATTTGCTTCATGCTGCTGGGATGAGAGTCCTGAAGAACAAATACAGCAAGAACAGCCTCACTACAAGTCTTCCAGCCCGTACCATCCTCCAGCGCTGCAGAAAATTACTGTAGTCCAGCAGGTGACATTTAACAGCAGAGAGCAGTTCACAGCAGATGTCCACAAAGCCATCTCCCAGGCTCTGATACACAATGATTTGGGATTTTAAAAAGCCACGGTTGCACCCTGCATATACTCTTCTGCATTTTGTCCTGTAAAATCTAAAGCATATGTTAATAAGTGCAGTAATAAAGACAGTAGACAATAGTCAAAGGAGATCTGTAAACATGATTAGGAAAAGGATAATTTGACAACACAGCATAGGCTGAAGAGGGAAAAGTTTTCCATTTATCACTCCAGTCCAAACTCCAGTTTGGAGCACTTGTCAGTATAATTAACCTCTTCCAAAGGAAGTCTTCAAGGGGGAACAGGGTCAGTTAAGATACCTTGCCTCATAGATAAATGGTCACATTGTCTATGTTTACAGCACTTTGAAAAGGGTGAGTCAGGCACTGCAAATCCAACAACGTGGTAGGATTTATTCTTAAATCCCGTAGTATTATTAAATATCTGAATCTTCCATTCCATGCAGCTCTGCTCCCTCCTGCTGGGCATGTGTGCTTATCCTTTTGCCTTAAAACCAGTGGAAACCAAACTGCAGAAGATCCTAATATTCATTTAAACAAACAGTGCTTCATCAGTGCTGTTTGCATATTCACTTGCTCAAAGTTAGATGCATGTTTCTAGATCATCACTGTTACCTTAGACTTAATTGTTTCAGGATTCATGCACCTTAATGCCTCCAGGGGGTTAATTACTGCTGTCTAAATATCTGGTCAAATTGAACAGACTCCTAAGGAGAATACTGAGTTTGCATTCTTGTGAGTCACAGGGGACTGAGAATCTGGACACCTGTGCTGTGGTTTGCACTTGGTCATTAGAGTATTCAGACTTTTAAACTCAGGTGCTTAGAAAATACTCTTAACTGAGTGCTTTCATTTTAGAAGGGAGGTCAAACTCAGCCACCCAATTTTCAGAAATGCTGAAAACCAGAAGCCCCTAATGATTTCCTCAACATTTGCTCCAAACTCAGGATCAGTGGGAACCAGGCTGATCATCTTTGTCTAAATTCAATTAGAGAGAAAGATACCATTAATGATAGCTGTCCCTTTGAGTTGACTGGGCTTAATTTTGTCCAGATATAAGTGAATGTAAAAAAAAAAACCCAAACACTTGCGGAGGTGTTGCAAGGATGCTCCAGCCCTGGCAAAGTGCTTGGAAATGGTCAAAGGCAAACAAAAGCTATATACGTGCAACACTGAGTAGAGGAGGGCAGGCTGTTGAGAAGCGCATAGCCTTATTACACAACCCTGTTTCCTACA